TTAATACATACCTGACAGCTTGCTCCAGTTGGATGTCTAATAGATATCTTGAACAGCATATGTCCAAAACTAAATGTTTGATTTTTCTACCTAAAACCAACTCTACTGCATTCTTCTCCATCTCTATATGTGACATCATCTTTAACTACTTGCTCAGGCTAAAACTACTGGATTCCTCTTGAATTATCTATTACACATTCATATTCAAACAATCTATTAGCAAATCCTTTGGGCTCCTTTCTTACCAGCTCCACGGCTCCTATCTAGATTAGTGCTTTCTTCTCTCATCTGATGACAGTAGCACCTCTTCCAGCCGCCTCTGTGCTTCCACACTTGCCCTCCTACAGACTTCTTTCACATGTTAATCAACGTGACATTTTTGAACCATAAAACATATTAGTTAACTAACTCCCCTGTGCAAAATCATCAGATAATAACCTTTCATTCACACCCAGAATAAATGACAAAGTCCAGATGGCCTACAAAATGCCACACAATCAGGCCTCTGTCTAGTGCTCCAACATTACGTCTGCTCTTTCTTCCTCTTACTGATCCTATATTACCTAGTCATATCCTCACTGCTTTTCTTAACCAATAAAAATGTATGTACTCCAACCCTATAGTCTTGCTAGTTCTTCCTTGAGGTATATATGCAATCTCTTCCCCATCTTCACTGAGGTGTCTACTTAAATGCTACTTCCACAGAGACCTTCTTTGTCCACAATATCTACACTAGAAAACCTCATTAATCCCCATCCTGCTATTGTACTTTGTATTTGCCTCCAGTACTACCACTATGTAGTATCACCATATTTATTTATGTGCTTAATGTTCACTTTCCACAATAGAATGAAGCCCATGGTAGGGGCCATCTCTATTTTATTCACTGCTACATACCCTATAAATAGAACAGTGTTTGGTACATGGCAGTACTCAGAAGATATTTATTGAATGTTGAATGCTAAATAATTTAGATAACATTGAACTAATAATCCGTTTTAATCTACAGGGCATCTCTAAAACCTTTCTAAGCCCTCTTATTCATACTATTGATCCTGTTGGCTGTTGCAATAATATATAATTATTAAAGATGAATTGCAAATCATAATATAATTAAGGAATAACACTCTTACAAGCATTCTTCTATGAACATATTTTTGTATATTTTTCTTGGAATAAGTGTGTAAGAATTTGCCCTACAGAATTTCAGGGTTATAGGATATGTACATGCTCAGCTTAGGATGCTGCCAAATTATTTTCAAGTGACCAATGAAGTAATGAATACAAGAAGTTTACCCACATGCAGGAACATTATTCAGTGTGAGAGTAAATGCATTAATGCCATATGCAGCACTTCGAATAAGTTAGGAAAATCATTTTAGGTGAGAAAAGGCAAACTGGCAAAGAATATACATTTAATTATTCTAGGTTTATATCGTTAAAATACAAAGCTAAATGATCCATTTTAGTAGTACATACATATGTGGTAAAAGAATGGTAAACAGTGTTTAAACAGTTGAGCTGGAGCAGAAAGCAGGGCATAGGACCTGAGTGGCACACAGATGACATTGACAACACAGAACATACTTCGTTTTTAAGCCGGATGGTAGATTTATGAGGGTTTGTTTTATTTTATGCTTCATTACTTATATAAATGCTCTCCATATGCTTTTGTATACAGGAAATAGAGAATATTTTAAATATATAATTCTAGTAATTGAGGATAAACTTTGCTAAAACATTCCCATTTGTCATTAGTTTTCACAACCAATATATGAACTGAAAACTTAATGATCAAATGAAAAAGAAAAACAAATTCAAATAAGGTAGGAAAACTAGGAAAGGGAACACTCCCTTACTTCATCACACCTCACTTTTTCAAGCCAAAGTTACACACACACACACACACACACACACACACACACACACACACAATTGATACTATTAAGTGCAAATCTATCATGGGACCAAAAACAGTTACAAAGATTCATTTGCAGGATTGTACAATGTGACCCATTTATCGAATAGTAAAAGCTTCATGTAAGTCATTGAACAACAGTATTCACCTTCCCTTCTCATCTCTTCTCCATTGAGAGCAAAGCTAAAAGAAAGACATAGCAGCATTCAAGAAATATTTTGAAATGTCTGCTATGTACAGCCAGTGACTGATACATGTGCTCTGAAGACATCAGAAAGCAGGTTTATATGCACTGCATCGGTACACATCTCTATCTACAGATTCTTCCTTTCTAGCCAAGAAGCTCTGTGACTTCATAGTCCTAGGGCCACCACAACCTATATTGAGCGGGTTTTGGTTTTGTGGGTGCTGACCACCACCAAAAGTGCTGAAACCACAGGGAAAGCCTGCTTTGACTACAGCCCTCTGCAGTGGGGAAGAAAGACCCTGGAATGTACATAGAGAAGACTTTCCAATAGTAGCGTTAGCAGTAATCCCATTTCTCAGCATCAAGAATGTGGCTTAAGAAAGTCCTCCTACCTTGGGGAAAGGCACCTATTTTGCATTTCTATTCCATCTCCACCAGCTTACTTTACCTTTCAGCACAGTCAGGCTCAGAAGCAACTCTGCCCTCTAAGCCATTTTTACATGTCCCTTGGTAGTGATTATGGAACCACACATACAGTACAGTATAAATTAAACTAAGTGAAAAATTAACTTCCTGAAGAAAAACCACATGCTGTCCTCCTCCAAAATATGTGTTCGCCCTGACCTTTTGGAGGCATCAAGACGTCCCAGCCCTTTAACTTCATGAAAATCTTTTTAGATAGCTTACTCCGAGGGCAGATTTATGTCTGGAAAATTTGGAGTTGCTTACCAAAAGGATGAGAGTCATTTATTTTCCTGTTACTGGTCTGCCACATGAATGAGATAACATCAGCTAAAATATTCAGCAGGAGCTATTCCTGGTTTTTTCCCTTTCCCTCTTTGAGACCAGTTACCTATTTAACTCCATCCTGTCAATTAAACCAGAGAAAAAACGCAAAGAACTAATTAGGCAACTGTGTAATTTTAATTAGCTGTTTTGATAATTAAACTAATTAGTTCCCCTGTGTTTCCACAATATGTGGTGGACTGGTTTTGATATCACAGCTTCAGAGTTCCATTCCATTAGTTAATTAGTCACTTTTGCATTAGAAAGCTTTATTAATGGCCTTAATTTGCAGTTGAAATGAGAAATCTGCTGTCAATAATTTGGATAATTGCCTACTGTTTGATTATAAAGTACAAAAGTAGCAGCACACCATTACATATGCAAATCCCAAGGGTTATTTCCTGGATGCTTAGCTTTCTTGATCTACATTTCATCCTCTCTAGCTTTCTGTTTTTTCTTGACCCTGTTAGGGGGAAGAGAATCCAGCTTATTAAGAAAATGAAGGCCTGTTTTTTTTTTTTTCCCTTTCCCCTTGTCCTGTACTGCATGTATGCTTGTGCCTGCAATTGTTAAAGTTATTGCTTGCTTTGTACCTAATTAGTGTCCTTAGAATTAAATGAACAGCTCTGTATACACCTCTAGCTCCTGCAGCCATGTTTGTGCATTGAATAATTGATTCTACTCTGCTAATCAGATAGGGACATAATGAGCCAGTTTAATTAAATGGGGATCTAACCTGGTGAACACTGGGAAAATATTTGCTCATTTACTTAGTAAAAGGCCACAGTTGCTTTTCATTGGATAGAAGGGAAGGTTATGGAAAGTAAAGTAGGCTCTCAAAGCAGAAACAGTTCAGTGGTCGGCTACCACTACTTGAATAGCAAAAGGGTTTACTTAGTTTGGGAGTGGGGGTGGGGATGGGAAGAGTTTAATCAAAGGGCCAGAGACGCTGAAACTGCTGACAGGTTCCCCAGCCTCTCCCAAGGTGTCAGCATCACTGCTTGCTGTGCTCAGGGAGGCAGGTTTCCTGGTCGTGCATGGTCCTTAGTGATTTTCAGAAAGAATTTCAACTCACTTCACTGCCGGTTGGTGCCCGTGCAACCAGATAAAGGTAAGACACAGTTGTAGTTTATCTTCTTGGCAAGTGATGGGACTGACTTGTTTGTTCTCCAATGATCCTGTGGACTTAGGTGGAGGATTACTGCTAGAAACTCGTAACCAAATTGACTTGGGTAGCCTCATTCCTGCGCTGAGAAGAGAGCAGGGAAGAACATACCAAGGCATGGAAGGAGGTACACACATTTAAAGTTCTGTGCGAATTCTAAAAAGGTAACAGGACTTCGGGGATAACAGCTGATCATTTTCAAACTTCAAGCTGACTGGAAAAATAACTGTGCTTTCACACAGGTGAAGTCTTTGGAATGGGAAGACGATTATGGTCTTTAAATGTAAAAGATTACCCACATTTTCAATGACAGCTTAAGTGAAACACACCACATTCAGTATAATCAGTGAAACCCAGCTCCAGTTAACTACAGATGCATGCATCTCCTATAACTCTAATTGCACATCAGACTAACTTTACCTGTAGGGATCAAGTGTTGCAAGGCCGATACAGCAACAACATGGTGCTCATCTGCTCTGGTGCACTAGGATGAAATAGCATATTGACCCTGAATCTATACTCTGAGTAAAAGCAATTGTCATTCTGCCACTGTAACACCTTGTTGCCAGTGGCGATGTAATTAAAGCTGTGAGGACTCATTTTCCATTCTTATCTCTTAAGCTCCTCTGAATCAGGAACTGTTTGTCTGTGGTAACTGAGAAAACCTACTACAAGGCTACATGTTTATGTATGAATTTTGGGTAGCTGTTCCTTTTAGGGGGCAGAAGATATATACATAATTATCAACATTCATCCAAATAATGTGTGTATACAAATGTTGATAGATATGCACCTAGCACATAATGTGCATATGCAAATATGCATGTGTATACTGTGTGTATATTTATATATGCACCAGCCTCAATATATATAAACAGATGTATATATGCACACACACATACACACACACACACACACACACACAGAGTCTAAATTTTACTCACCCCTTTTCTCCTCTATTAAAATTCCAAATGGCTAAGAGGATTTTCTCAATTTAGTCATACTTTTAATCTTCACTGAAATGAGTGATGACTTCTTATAATAAAAAGTTGACAGGCTTACATTGCGCACCGGTGGATTAGTTTCCCTTGGTGATGAGGTTTTCTTTTGTGCGCCGTGTGTCTGTTTGATGGAGGTTTAACAGAAAGCATTTTGGCAGAAATTGGATGCAGCAGGGATCATCTGGAGATGGCTGCTGTTCGATATTAACTGCACACAGTAACTTTTTTTTCCTTCTTCCTTTTTTTTTTTTTTTTATATTCTTCAGCCAGGTGACAGAGAGAGCCAAAACATTTTTCCTCTTGAAAGTAAAGATTTTTTTTCCTTTTTAAGAATAAAGTATCTGCCCATTCTGCAAACACCTCAAAATATTTAATGTGCTTAGGCCATTGTTTAATGTAAGCATGGTACAAAGCTTCCTCTGCAGGAAAGTAACAACACACGAATATATGAAAGGTGTATTTCTAACAACTAGATGCCTTGGATCCTCCCGAAATCAGTAAGTGAACAGGAGTTGGTTAAAGATTAAAATTGGGTGTTTCACAGAAGACACACATTGATACTTGCCTCGATGCAAAGAAAGAAACTGGTGGGCTATGATTTGCATTATTTACTCCCCATCCTCACCCCTTCTTGTAATTCCATTTTATTACTCATTGGAAGCATTGAAAGTCTCATAATAGAGACTTGCCAGATGTCAAATGTAGTGGAACATGCTCCAAGCATATGTATATATTTATACTTGTGAATATATGCACACAGAGCAAATAAATAACTAAAAGGATACATCCCATTCCACAGAAAAGCTCTGACCAGGTGGGTGGGAGCTCATATTCTCTAGTCCCTAAGCACTGCATGCAATGATTCAATGCACGTCAATCTCTGTTTGATGTGAAGATGCTAAACCTGAGAGCCAGTATGCAGCACAAATGAGCATTTCCTTTAATGAAGGGATATGTCTGTGTATGTGCATTTAATGCAACAATTATGCTATGCCGTCTAATAGCAAATATTTATTGCCAAAAGAGCAATCTCATTTGAAAAATGTGAGAATTTAATTATTGCTTTAATACCCCAAGAATAAAGAAAACCTTCAAGTCTGTTCACAGTGTGAAGTTCTTAGATCCTGGCAAAAGACTTATGATAAAGATAGGACAAGCCTAATCTGTACTTACCTCTGCTTCAGACAGCAGCAGTGACAATCCTGCCTGGCTTGTCAAGTTTCAAGAACTTGCAATCCTTAATTTAAACACTTGAGAGATCTATGGAGCCTGTCAGTCTGGTTAATTAAGCTCAGCTTCTTTTACCCCTCCTCTCCACCAAAACAAAATGTGGCTTTAAAAAAAAAAAATGCCACTTAAGACTTTATCTACTGATTAGGCAAACAGGTCTAGTCTAAGTAGTGTGATCTGAGAAGACTTAAGTGGAACCGTTTTTGCCATTAAAGGGAGCATACTCTAAAAATCTTCCTGAAAGTGTCACAGAGAGGTCAGCCTTGGCTTACTCTGCTTTCCTGTTTCAGAATTCATTACAGAAAACATGGGATAATCCAAAGCAAGAAATAATACAAAAATGATGTGTGTAACAATACCCATCTTAGTACTTAATGTCTTAGCATGGCTGTATTTGCTTTAGGAAAAAAAAAAAAAAAAAAAAACACTAGGCAGTTGGTAAGATTGGTCCTTTCTCATCCCAAAGAGGTGAGTTTCTGATAATCTTTCATGGGAGAATTGTGAATGAGGAATTTAGACCCTATAGAAAGAAGGGAGTTAAAAGATTGAGGGTCTCAAGTATATCTATGAAAGTCTAAATCTAAAACACGAATATAGGTTTCTATTCACCTATAGCCCAGTGAAGAAGGTACCTGAAGAGCCTAGCAACTGTCAAATGCCAATTTGTATATCTTAATGTTAACGAATCCTGAATAATCAATTTCAACCTACTTTCATTCAGTGGCCAAATTCATTTTAGTATCTCACTCTGTGTTTCAATAATATACTCATAAATTTTTGGTTTTGTTGTAGATAATATTTATAACAGCATCTTCCCTATTTTGTCTTCATCAAATATTTAATGGCTCCTGACTTCAGAACTTGAAAGTCACGTATCCTCTGTCCTACTGGAGTCCCAGAGGCGCAGAGATTCATTCCCTGTTATCTTGGGTTGCTCGGTTCTCTCTCCCCTTCCCTAGAGCACAGTGATCACTCTGGCTGAGCTACTGCAGCCAGCCCACCTGGCATGAAGCCCTCTTCCGCATCTCAGTCCCCTTTTCTAAATCTAATGGGAATGTGTGTGTGTGCCCTTGCAACTGACTGGTTTTATCCCAAGGCACCGCTTCTAAAAGTCTTATTGTATTTGCCTGTTTGCTTTATGGATTTTTATCTTGATTCCAATCTCTTCTCATTTTCTAATTACCATCAGCAGACGTTGAATCACAGCTCATAGATAGAAATTCTTAAGGACGTAAGGATTATATACAATAACAAATCCCATATATCATGTGATTTGGGAGGCACTTGTTGAGCAATGAAATTCCACTGGTCTAAAATAACCCAGAGGAGTATTTTCCTTTATTCATACAAACAGGTTTGGGCAAAGATAAAACCGAAGCCTATTGACTAGAGTTTTTCTACAGATATTTCAGTGAAGGTATTGGATTCCTTTTTCCCCTTAGCTTCTTCCAATTGGCTGTACAGATAACCAGTATTCACTGAACTGGCTTATAAAGCTCAAAAAAATGCAGGTGTGTTTGTGTCAGTTTGACAGGCACTCACTGGCAGCCTACACAACCAAATGCTCCAACTCTATACCCTCTTCAGTACATGCAAAGCTATCCTCATGGTTCACCTCACCTCTAATCCTGCTCTCACTAGTAGTAAACATTTGTAACTGCTTATTCTTTAGGCATGAAGCATGAATATGAGGTATCAGTCAATCATCAATTAACAGGGATTCTACCAAACATTACAATAGCAGTAATTAGGTAATTTAGATACACCATAACTGAAATTGTTCCCGACAAATCAGCGTCTTGAGATAAAGTCACATTGAACTCTTTTCCTATTGTACATTTTAAAAATAAGAAGGTTTCAGTACTGTCCTCATTAGGAGAGAGAATTATATTAGCATTTAAATTTGAAAGCTCATATGATCTTTCCTGGGGTATACTTTTGTTTTAATGATCCAAGATGGCTGCTAGAGTTCCAGCTATCACATGTAATTTCCTCCATGTAAGATGAAAAAAAAGGGTTAACATTACAATCTGCTGTCTGTTATCATTTAAAGGAGGCTCAGATAAGCTCCTTTGCTAGAACATAGTCATTTGATCACACTTGGCAGGGAGGCTGAGACAAGTAAACTTAGTTATGGGCTGCCATTTGTAGAGTTAAAAGGTTAAACTAGCAATGTCTGCCATGATTCATAACTTTTCATCCTTAATAATTTCCACAAGACGAAAACAACTATTTTGCAGCTACTATATCTACCATGTTTTGATACATCGATATAGTCAACATTCAAATAAGCCTTAAATAGTGAATCACCCAGGTTTGTAACAGCAACATTTTCATATCCTCAAACCAGTACTGAACTGAATCAAGTTGAATTGAATCAAAGTGAAGCATGTCCAAGTAAAAGGTAGGAAAAGAAGAATATAGACTCAATTTGTTCCTTTTATTAGGAAATTTTAAAAATAGATCTGTTTACATCTTTTTTTATATATAGATGTAACATGCCTTCAAACACATTAGTTAACCTGGTAGTTTATTTTAATATATTGGCTACCAATGATGCCTTCCATCAATATAGACCATATTTGAATGTGACCCTTGGAAGGTAGTAATCATCACCTGCATTTGGTGAGGTAAAGATCTGTTTACTAGAAACTTGTGCTTCAGTGGGCTTTATGAGCAAGCATCTTATTTGTTAAAATCAATATTTTATTTCACTTAGCATTATATTTTCCATTTCCATCCATTTACCAGGAAATACCATAATTTTATTCTTCTTTATGAGTGAAGAATATTCCATTGTGTGTATATACCACATTTTCTTTATCCATTCATTTAACTGAAGGGCATCTAGGTTGGTTCCATAATTTAGCTATTGTGAATTGTGCTGCTATAAACACTGATGTGGCTGCATCACTACAGTATTTTAAATTCTTTGGGTATAAACTGAGGGGTGGGATAAATGGGTCAAATGGTAGTTCTATTCCAGGTTTTCTAAAGAATTTTCAGACTGCTTTCCATAGTGGTTGCACCAATTTAAGCCAGTCTCCCCCCCAAAACAAAGGCCAAGTGTTCTCTCCGATATGTGGATGCTAATCCATAACATGAGAGTGTGAGGAGGGGAAAAATAGAAGTTCAATTGATTAGACAAAGGGGAATGAAGAGAAGGGAGAAGGAAGGGCAAGAGTGAAGACAGTAAAATTAATCAAACATAACTTTCCTTTCATTGTATATTAATATACAACCAGGGTAACTTCACATCATGTACAACCACAAGATCCTAATTAGAATAAGTTATACTCCGTGTATGTTCAACATGTCAAAATTCACTCTGCTATCTCATATATCTAAAAAGAACAAATAAAAATCAATATCTTAATAATCATCATTCACCCTGACTTATTCAGGGCGACTTTGTTACTAAGCATTCCACTAAGTCACTTTGATTTGTACATAGCAGCTTTTGAGATCATGGTTACATAATTTTTTACATTGATTATTTTTATTGCATTTGACATAAACCACAAAACTACAAGATTTCATAAAGTAGATCTACAACTCTGAATGTAATTCAGAAGGAATTCTCCTCGAGTGATATTTAAGAATTGTTACCTGCTGGATTTAATCAATTTCAAAATCAGCACCACTAGATTGCATGGCATAAGTCACTTAAACCTTGATGAACACGTTCAGAGGATGAATAGGAAAAAATTACTACCAGGCTGTGTCACACAAGTGTATGTTCCTCACTTAGTAGCCATTTCCAGATAAACTCATTAATGCTGCTCTTACTCAAGTTTTTCACTCAAGATTTGAAATGATCACCGATTATATCCTCGATTCTAAAATGGTGAAATTTGTAGATGACATTTTCTATACTAATGTATCAAACTGAATGTGAA